CCTGTCTTTCCATCGATATCCCAAGAACAATCTAGTTCAAAAGTTGTGCCTCAAAGCTCGATTGAAAATGTTTTTCTAGTTCAAGTTACAGAGCATGGATGAAATAAAAAAAAAAAATGCTATAAAAGGATAACCAAGATCCGCTCATGTTTGCCAATAAACACCCACGTTGATTAACTTAACCGTCCACATATCGCACATAACCTATCATTTTTTTTATTTTTCTAATTTAGCCTAAATCGTTCGGGTTTGAATCCGAGTTTCATACTCAAACAAAGCGCAGTTATTCTACCACCCTAATGCAATACCTCCTCCGTTTACTTGCTCTCATTCAAATACTCCTTACACTTCCCTTACTCACTCTGTTATCAGTAGCAGATGTTTAGTGTCCCGTTAATTAGTTCATGCTTCTATTGCGATCAAGCCGTCGCTGTGGGATCGTTGGCCTTTTAAAGACATTTCGGTATTCAGTTTGGAGCTGACCTTAAGTTTCAAAGTCCCTGGTGGCGTTAGGCCCCTTAGAAACTAGCTAATGCCAAAATATCAATATATTCCAGCAATTCTCAAGTGCGCTTTAGAGGAAACGTTACATTTGGCCACATGAGAAAAACAATTATCTGTCTACGTTGAAAATTCAATTGCGTGCCTACCCTCAAGCGTAGAGCTCAAGAAACGTAGCAATTTTTACACTTATATGCTTTATAAATTCTCCGCCGTTATTGGGAAGATTGCGTAAAAAAGTTATTGATCAGGAAATTTATATAGGAATCAACAGTGAAGTTTATATCTCCTAGTGCAAAAGTAGCTGTTCCAGATACTTTTCTGGTCACTTTTGCAGGCCCTTTCCAAACATTATAAAAGGCGTACGTCGAACAAGCCCTCCGAAAGAATATTACGAATTAAAGCTCTTTGTAATTTACACAAATACTGCACTAACCCGCTAAAAACGATTGCGCAAGTCAGCGTAGGCAAAAATCCTTTGCGATCCCCTATGGTCATCAGTGGGACCGATAGTTCTATGCAATGAATATCCCGCTTTGGTCAGCATAGTTGTTTTCCTTACCACCCCTTACTATTATTTCTACTAACATTTGAAGTAGCACGGTAACTGCCAGCAGAAGTGACAGTGAGAGCTTCTTGGCTTCGCTGTTGGCCACCGGCCATTGCAGTTGCCGGCCTCGCCGTTGTAGAAGCAACAGCCACAGTCACACGAGCACAAACAACAGCATAAAAGTAGGACCACCGAAAGGACGATTGAACTGGTGAGCGTAGACCAGATGGAATGGCTGATGTTCTAGCTGCTTTTCATACGGCTGTCTCTCGTGTCCATGAGGCCCAAAAGCAGACCGAACAGCAGCGGCGCAATGATTGTGTACGGAATGGGTAGTCTTCATAGTTATTCTTCGTTGCTGTTCTTTCGATGGGCGGTTGTAGCCAATCCGATGATGCTGCGGCTGGCTCAGCGGCGCATGCTGTATAAGCCGGGTCTCTCACTGCTGCTGCTGGCGCTGCTCTAAGCAACATGATTTACAGCAGCCGCGGCGGCACCAGCAGCAACAGCGTAGCGGGAACAACATCGACCGAGGGGCCCCTGAAAGACATCGTGACTGCTACTTGCTCTTGCAGAGACCACCGCCACCACCACCACCGCCACCACCACCACCACTACTATTACCAGCCCTTCAAAGGTTACGTCTCGATGATTATACTATTACTTTTTCAAGAACTGAAATCAACAGCACCAACTTACACAGGCCGTTGTTTATTCTTATTCTACTATCCAAAATCGCAGGCTCACTGATTGTTCCTTTGGGCAAATTTTTCTATTATCAGAAGTTTTTGAAAATTTACCTAGATCGAAGCCAGCCTGACTTGCAAACGGACCGTCAACAAACAGTTAGCAAATGTAAGCTGTTATTGACAGGTGTGATTAAGTAGAGAATTCGCTCGTAAACTACGTCGTATTTCTCAAAATACATAGTTTTTTTCTTTTTTTGTAAATCTGCAGATCTCACTCGAAAATGAATAACAACTGAAGTCTGATCCTTGCATTGCCAAGGATACACGACAAAGTGTGAAATCAATCCATGAGACAGAAACAAATGTCTCAACGGTACTTAAACAGTACTGAATTTTGGTTCTCCCTCATTGCCCGCTGCGCTGCCAATGTGCCCTCTGCAGCCTTCAGCATAGTCGATGTACAAATAGTTGTCTCTGGAACGTTGTGATGCCAATATACGTCCACTTATATTTCGAAATACGTTATGTACATTGAGTATGTCAATCAATAGGTAGAAATAGCGGAGACGCGACGCGCAAAGCTCAGATCTCGATAGTCTATGGCATTTTGGAGTGCTCCATTGCGCTCGAAAAGTTTTTCTTCGGACTGTTGGATTACCCTTACGGGCTGGTAGGTGCACATTAGACAGTGCGTTTGAAACGGATTGAAAATGACCAGTTCCAAGGAATTATAGTCAGAAATGTACATGAAATAATCACCGTTTTGTGACAAGTTCTTAACTTTACGCATGAACCATTGACTACCTGAAAATCTACTTTTAAATACGATTATCATATGTGTTATTTGTATATATATGTTTAGGGTACTATTGAGACAAGTAAGGTAAACAGAGGAACGGAATGCGGAAATTTCTTTTGTGTGAAAGTATTCTGATGTAATACTGCTGTTCCTGTTCTTGGCAATGGACAAAACTTTCTGTAGGTTTCTGAAAATAGCCAACCATACTCAAATTATCTCGCCTATTCTCTTACGATTATTATTACTATTATAGATACATTTTTGGTGGCCCAATTGATCATTTCTAAGATATCAGATAGGCAAATTCGACGCCATGACCTTAAGCGATTCCTGTTGATGACTGGCACAGTCGTGTTTGAAACACGTAGAAGTTTGTTCGAAACAACAGATAAATATTATCTATTACTGGATGAATTTTGTAAGCGGAATACTTGCAGTAAAAAGAGGAACAGCTGACGCTAGGTAGCAGTTAGCGCACGTATGTTTCAAAAATAATAAATCACACACTCATACTCAACAAACAATCTATCCAACCGTTTCTGAATCTTTTATCCGCACATACGAATATGTGTGCACCTTGTATGTGGGTATACCGTTCTCATCTACACAAAATTCCGCTTAATAGATCCCGCGCTAAATGCACGCGTGTGCTCTTGTTTACAACTGGATACGGAAAGCGTTTTGTATAGGCAATGTACATGTATATATCAAAGTTTACGGGTCTCACGTCGTTTCACCGCAGTTTGTATAGAAGTTAGATTGCAAAAATAGAATTTGGATCTTGGCTAGAACAAAAGTCGATGAAGGTCTTATCAGGTAATTGGACGAAGCCTGCAGACGTAAAGCAATTTACTCGTGTAGTAAGGAACAAAAGGATCTTTAATTTTACGTTTCATTTGGCTACAACGGATTCACGGAAAGTTTGTTAGGCTAAAAAGCGTGCAACATTTCAAGGTCGTAACAAGCTTTTATAGGTAGCATTATACTCTCAAACTGACGTATAATGTAATATACATATATATATATATATATATATATATATATACATAGGAAATAAATACACCCTCAAGAGAGAGATTTTGCAATTCAGGGTTATATGCGATGTAATTGGTACATTCTGAGCACGTTAGTCAACATGGGTTATTTTTAACCGTGCGTCTTTTATTAAAATTTTGGGAATAGCTTGATTCGCCGAGGCAGGGAAGGAAAACTCAGCGCGACCCAGCTGACAACCCAGTTGCCCACGCGTCTGAGAAGATTGCCCCGATATTAACTAGCACAGCGTGCTTAAAAGGGTTCTAAGGTAGCCAATGTATGCTATCTAATGCTACATCTTCCTGAATCGCTTTAATGCCCTTAACGATTTAACCAAATACTCAAGCGAAATTTGCCATGTGAAAGCTCTAGGAAGATATAATACGCATCTTCAAACTATATTTGGCCTCCGTTTTTTGTAAAAGTTTACGTAAACACACTCTGCTATCATAAGAACCATCAACCCGAAATCTGGCAATGTGCTGTTGCGATACTATGGTATGACCTTGATCTTTGCACGTCATTAAGTGCACCCCATATCGTTGTCCATACTAGCGTCAACTCACGGGGCGTACCACGGTAGACATAGACAGGCAATCTTTCCTCCAATAATTTGAAATGGAAAGCATTGTTGACTTTGCATTGCAGCTTTTAGTAACCGTTTAGTAATGATATATTGCGATAGAAATTACGGTGCATAAATTTCGTTGAAAGTTAAGCGAAACAGACCGATGAAAAATTAGCAACCGAGAATGGTAGCTTAGCCGCTTGGCCTGCCGGAGTTCAATACCGTGTATTAGCAGACTATAAAAGGAATAAGCAGAAACGAAAAAAAATAAGAAGAAAATAAGCTAAACTAACTAAATTATATTGAGGTAAAAGTTAACGTTTCTGGCTGTTATCGGCCCTAGTAGCCTTGTAGTCAACGGTGATCATTTTACTTTTGCATACAATTCATTACTATATAATCGTGTTTCAGTACTTCTATGGCAATCATAGTACTTATTACTATCCTTATTAGTTATAATCATACGCGTTCAAATGAACCTAGCTGTTCCTAAAGCCATACTCATCTTGAGGATACTGTTAATATGAACCCGTGTGTTACGGGCTGCACCAGCGGCGTCCATAACAGCTTAATTTATAAAATGGTCTGTATAAGAGACCTGGCCGTTAATTCCAGGCCCTAAATTTGGAATATTTAGTAGTTTTCGTACAATATACTAATTATTCTTTTTCTGCTGCAAGCACAAAGTGAAAAATTTCTTCGTTGGAATACCCACGTGTGTTGGTGACTCAAGTGACAACGTAGTACCTAACCATTATATATAGTCTGGGTTTCTTTTTGTGGAGAAAATAAACATATCCCGTAGGCCCCGGACGTTGTATAGACGACTAACTAACATCTCTATTCTGTTTGTTTCAGGGCTTAACAGTTACATAGCAAGACAACAAGCAGGGTTTCCCGGTTTCTTAGGTGAGTTGAACTTGCATGTTAAAGCTACGTTTGCCATAGTTATTTTTGTTCTTTACCGAATTTATTTCGACGAAACATAATTACGGAAGCATTTTTGCTTTGTCGCTCTCAAGTCCTAGGGGCAACTATATTTAGACAATTTCCTCTGTCAAAGGTTTTCAGTTCCCAAAATATGTTGCCTGAGCACACAGTTTGGATTAGTCCATTCGTTGGCTAATGTTTGCATTTTGAAATGGTTCGAACTGTATATCCCGATGAGCCACCTTTGTGCTTGTTGAGACACCGCGAGCTGCTATAGCTTCTGTATTAGAAACAGCCCTGAGACTGCTTACTACTATAAAAACTACTTTTACGTCACGTGTATGTTAATACTGAAACACATGATCGCATAAAAAATAATTGTATTCTACTCTATATTTGGAAACGGTAATTTATTTGAAAGGGTGAATGCGTCAGTTCCACATATGGATGAGACATAACTGTCTCTGAAATTGTTCGGATCAGAAGATCCGAACAATTCTAGAGTTCAGACAGTGTGTGCATGAAACATTTAACACAAACCCAGTAGGTATGGTACGCATTTTCTTTTTTGTCATGTTCCTGCCGCTAAGATATGCCGCTCGCACTTTGTCAACGACTAAAGCATGGCTAACTTCGACAATGGATTCAATATACAAGTTACACATAAACTGTAAGCTTATTGAAAATAGCTTGATTTTGTGGACATAAACAGGGTACTTAAGGCTTTGTATTTCTGGTTCAATCGAGTGCTGAGGAACGGCTGCATCATTTCCGAGCTTCGCCGGCATTGGCAATTCGCCATTATTGTCACATTGAACTTTAAGTGTGCTTCAAGTTTTTTTTCTTTCAACAGCTTTCTTACTTTAGAGTTTTCATAGAGAAGCAAATAAAGTGTACTGCTATAAATTATTATTTAATCAACTTCTGCTTCTGTTAGCGTTGTAGTTGTCACCCTGACGCAATTGACAAGTTGGATGGGTGTATTCATGGCACGGGTGCAGCGACTAGGCATGACTGGATGCTTCGCTTTTATCCAAGCCTTCGCAGAATAGAGATAGATACATTTTGTTTTGATAAACGTGGTGTCCACGAACTCGCATTGACTGATAGCTGATCAGGGATCACCACTTCAGTGGTCAACACAGAAAGCACATGGCTATCGAGTGACTCCAGCGGCATGATTGCTCGTGCTCTATCTTTTAGTATGGGTCCCTGCAGATGCTCAACAGCACAGTAGGCCCCCGGATAACGCGCTTGGTACCGTTAATCGCTACATTAGAAGGCAAACATGATGATCGGAAAATGTTTATTTGGAAAATATGCCTCTCAACAAACAAGGTTAAACAAACATTGAGGCAACTTCGAAATTATTGGTGTGCCGTAGTACAATGAACGAACTACTATATTTAATACTAACGCACCTGTGCTGAATGGCTAAAAACTAATTAACTAGAATCGGAAGTTTTATCACGCAGTTTCAGCGTCTTAGTTAGTAAAAGATCGACTAGTTAGGTAATTCAATTTTAAACCTGCTTAGGGAAATTATGGAACTTGGATGAATGGGTGTGAGCCGAATCTGGTTTCTACTGACTTTTATTAAGTAAGTCCATAGATGAGCTCATTTTCGCAGCAGAACCAAAAACTTGTAAAAATTGGATGCACAGATATGGTAACTGTATTATTTCACACCAAACTGGGACATGAAGTAAAGCTAAGCGATAATCATAATGATTAAATTTTGAATGAATTCTTCTACTGGGGTGAGAAATGCCATCAAATCAGATCAAACTAGGGAACGAAGAGTAATGGAATCATTATCATTGTATCTCTAGCATCCTTCGAGTCTTCAGTGTGTATCTGATGTTTTGCAGGGTTTGAAATCTTTCACGTACAATGCATAAGAAATTACAACTAGTATCTAAGATTAAAAACAAATTAAGCTAATTAAGGGCTAGGATTAGGTCCTAGGAATCTATTAACGACACAGTCCAGTAAAACTTAGAGTCCTATTTAGAGTAACAGGAAAAATGTTTTTTGAATCCAGTTTATGGTACAGCTATCAAGAACGAGCTCCTTCGAATTAGAAACAGAAAATTTATGACTAACCCAATTAAAACAAGCAAGAAAAATATAAGAGTTTTGTTTTTGTTGCATTTAAAAACATGAAGCAACTTTGAAACATGCTGCTACATTTGCAATTCCAGGCTCCTTTCTCACAAAGAGATTTGTGATTAGAGCAGTTACTAATAGATTAAAGGAGCTTTTCGAAGGTGATACAAGCTGTTCATGTTCGGAGAACGATACTATGGTTGTTATTGTCCTTTTCTAATTTGTAATTTATTTGTGTAACGAGTTTCTTTATGTTTATATATGTAAGCTTTTATCGTAGCGACGCTGGCCGGCACTAGTTAAGCACGAGCTACGCGTTTGAGAAATATTAGCGGAACTCGTGTGACGGTGTTTTAAAGAAATTCGATTCTGTAGTAGAGTGTCAGCTTGCCAGCAACATTGATTGACTGGGTTTTTGGGCCTGCATCCGCATCGTCATTATAAACAATGGCAAATAAAAACACGTTTCTAAAAGCGTTGACCTAACCTTATCTATCTATTCCAACTCTCATAAAATCGCGCCTGCATTTTTTCTAAGTTATTCTACTTGTCTAGTGAAGACATTTGTAGTCGTCTATACAAAGTAAGTCGTCTATATAAAATCAGCTCCCAAAAACGCTCTGTTTACTCTAAATGCACGCGCCAAACATATACGCTTCAGCTAAGTAACTATTGAAACAGCTTTATTCATAAAGTACAGTCTCTCTCTGAGTTGAACTCACTCACGTCCGTAGCATCCATCTTGCAACATATATATTTATACTGAAGGTCGATCAAATTGCATCTTCGAAGACAAAAAAAGTTGCTTTAGAGCATAGCGCACCGCAACCTGGTCTTCACAAAACGTCGAATAAATGTACCTTAATGCCAGGCTTTTAATCACAGAGTATACTTTAAGGCCAACTGAGGAAGCTAGCCTGGCTATCGTCTATAAATCCTTCAACATTTATATACATTCAACGTTTTTATGGTTACAAAGCTCGCGACCCAGCTCTGCCTTACCACTCCACTACGGAGCGTTTATCCGCCAAATAATAGACGAAAATTGATTGATAAATAATAATGAGCGCATTTATTTGGAATGGCCTTCACTATCTTGCAGTGAAGGACTTTATTATTAAGTCCTTCACATTAAGAATAATAACTAGGGCTATTAGTTGGAGACAAACGATTTTTAGTTGATCAACATTTTCGTCGACAGATGGACGTCGTTATAAATGTGGAAAAAAGGCCAAATCCGATTTTTGCTTTGTCCGCTGTGGAGGCGGTCCTTCTGAGCTTTCAGAAATAAGTGATAATTGGATGGGATGGAGTAAAGTGATTAAGGTAAATATACCAAACGATCCCACAAGAGCCTTGTAGTAGTTTTTTTCAATTGTAAAATAGCACAATTTATTTTCGTGCTTCGTAATAATAGGCCACATAAAAGCACAGTTGACTCGGCGGAAGATACCCGTATCTCCTGCGAAAATTGGCTCAAAAATTTGGTAAAATTTGCCAATGATAATATGACAATAGTTGGAGTATTATAGAAAAAAAAAAGAAGTCACTTCAGTTATGGCCACGCGTGTATAATGAGGTGCCATAGTCATGCAAAGACTCGCACTCGCTTGAATACCTGTACGTCGCTTTGCAATAAAAATATAGATATTTCACCGAAAAAGAAACGTTTTTAGGGCGATACTTTGTGTATGAGCATTTTCCACTCTTTAACAAAAATACTATCACAATAAGAATAGGGGGATACCCTTGTGTGGCTCCGATTGTCCACGACCAATGGTCAGCGCGTCATGTTCAACGTTAACTTTTCCCATTAAGTGCAAGCTCATTCTAAGCATGGAAGGTGATACGTCCGATCTCAAACTACTTCGACTTTGCTAATTTAAACATTTTACACAAACAAAACAAAAGGAAACGAAACAAACCTCGATCAGTTTGGGCCTCTGTTAGAACAAGTACTGTTAACAACCTTGAACGCACGTTAAACGAGAATTGTGGAAAAATGATGCCGTCCATCAACTACAATCGCTCCTTCGGGAAGTACCCGACATGCCGCTGACTCGCTTGTTTAAATATGTAATTAATTTTAGCATCAATAGTCTTAGCTTTAATTATTGTTCATACAATCTGCTTAGGTTGTTGAAATAAATGTAAACAGGTGTTGAGGTTTATAATTACAACGGTTTTTGAGTCATTTTCCGTGGAAGCGTATATTGTTTTTTAAAATATTCAAAGCAAATTATTCGCTTAATTGGAAATACTAAGCCAACCGGGTTAATTCAAGGAACAGAGCTCACCATTGGTGAGTCTCTTATTAGTGGAACCGTGCGGAGGATATAAGTACTATCAAATATTGATGAATGTTACCGTCATTTGCTTTTGAAAAGGATTTTTAATTTCAACAATAACAATAATAATAATACGTGTTATATATGAAGAGCCGATAGCCCTGTGGCTACTTCTAGGAACTTTCGCACATTTAAAGCTTTGATATAATTAGTATCTCACATTTGAAGCTCGTTTTCATTAATTATACGAAACTCTAGTTGCTATCAGTATCCTCCTAATAAGCTTCAAGGTGTCAATTATAGTATATATATATATATATATATATATATATATATATATATATACTATAATTTGAACAGACAATTTGAACGGCAAATGCTGTCATACGGCTGCTGAGTCCGAACATTTATGTAAGGTAGCTTTTTCTTGTCTTTGAGGCCAGTACACATAGGATTTGTATTATTCGATTCAAGCCCTTACTTTCCAAACTTAGATTCTATGATACACGCGGGACCTAGAAATAATCCCGTCGAAATACGAAAAGAGTGCCAATAAATCGAAATACTAAAGCGATGCGATGA